TGACAGCAGAACAAGGCAGCATAGGATTTGGATTTGTTTTTTTATGGTTTCTCAACACAATTCAGGTTATTTAAAGCTGAAACAGTCTTTGGACTGTAAGAATAATTTTTTTTTTTTTTTGCAAGTGAATTGCATATAAAAGTCCTACTATTTAACCCATAGCTAGGGAGGAGAAGAGATAGATTCATAACTTTCCCACGGTTATTTGCATGTAAGTGAATGTTCTCTGATTTCTTATTCTTATCTATTACACCACCCCCACATAATAAAGATGACACAGACAGTACTACATCTCATAACATGTTCTCTTGGTATGAAATGTAAATTCTTGTTCTGCGCATGAAAAAGTAAATACAAAATGAATGTTTGTTTTCTTGCAGTATACAAAATTTATTTCTGTTTATCAGACATTCAGTTGCATTTATCTGTATATCCACCTCGTACAGGCATGATACAAGGTCATGTTTACCATGGGAGCCCATATGTATATGGACCAAGAGACAAAAATTATGCAAGACCTCTTGGCACTTCTCCATTAGGGGACACTCTCAGGAAGGACCAGCTGCTTGGAGCTGTTATATTACAGTATGGTGGCAGAACAAAGAAGAAATGACAGAGGTTTATGAAATAACAATTGTATTAATAAAAATAATAAAAATGCAACAAATGGTAAATTGGTGTAAATGTCTATCATTGAAAGAAAGAGATAAATAGAATTGTAAAAGTCATCTGCAAAGATTTGTTTGTTTGGGTTTTATGGCATATCAACCACCGTGGGTTATTTAATGCCAAATCCAGTTTATATATATATATATATGCCAAATATATATAAATTAATTTTAAATGCCTATTTTGTATAGAACATTTTTAGCAAGCTAGAGCTGATTTGCTTGCACACTGTAAAATAATCCTAGGTATTTTTGTTTAAGTCAAGAATTTCCATTTGATAAAGACAATTTATTTGCAAAATGGTAAAAGGTAGGATATGTTGTTTATACATCAGTCTACATCTTTGATAAGAGACCAATTCTTTTGAGAAAATCCAATATATTTTTTGGTTCAGTTTTTGCAAATAATTTCTTCATGTTCTTCATGTTATAGAAATTTCTACAGATGTGTGTGAGGTTTGTACATTCTATTAGTATATGTTTTACAGTGTATTGTTTTCCACAGGAACATTTAGAAGTAGGTTCTTGTTTTAGTATGAAAATGTGAGTCAGTCTTGTGTGTCCAAATGCATAATCAAGCAATGGCGGTTTGTTCTTGTTTTAAGATTCAGTTGCCTCTCCTTTAGAATTGGTGCTATTTGGTAGAGTTTATTGTTGGTATTTTTGTGCCATAGTTGTTGCCATTTTAGTGTTATTGTTGTCTTGATTTTATGTTTTAGGTCAGTGTATGGGATTTTGATGTTTTGGTCGGGTGTCATGTTGAAAGCAGCTTTGGCACCACCTCGAACGAGACTCTGCCTTTCGGCGGAACCTCGTCCAGGTTCCTCTCCGCCCGAAGACAGGGAGTTAGACTGTTAGCTCTACCCTGGAGCCAAGTTCTCATCTGCAAAGACATGCGGTAGGAGAGGGTGGGTGAGTTGTGACTTACTGCAATGATGACCTTTGGCAAGTTGTCTTTGGAGATGGGAGGTCACAAGGAGTTGTGAATCCTGGCTGTTGTGTTGTCCCACTGCCCAAGATGTTTCTTTGATGGGATTTTATGTCCTTTTCTTAGGCTCAGATTGGCTCCAATTTTTATTTTCTTTTGGAGTGGGAGCTATTGGGTGGAAATTCTGGATTGTATTTTTCTTTGAGTGTGTAAATAAAATGGAAGCTATGTGAGGAGCCGATGCACAGTTGATGGAATTTTTAGTACAGCTTTGAATTTCAGAGCGTTCACATCCGGCCAGTCATGGAAATTTGTGTAACATGAATCAGAAGATCTAGTTTTAGAAAAGTTATTCCCCAGTGGATGGGTAAGGCTAATGCAAAGCAATGGCATGAAAGTTTGTCTGGAAAATCCTTGCTAATAGGTTTGATATTCATTAGGTACTCAATAAGTGGGTTATCCAAATAAATATCTGCTTCACACACATATTTAAATTTATTTTCTTCAGAATGCCTCTTTCCTCCACCTTCATATTTTTTTAAAAATATTATACTTTTGAAAGTTAAAAAGAAAAATAATTTTCTTTAAAAATATTGTCAAGAGAAAATAGCTTCAAAACCTTAGGTAATTCTTTTGTCCTATCAAAATACACTTGTTTTGATTTTGCAGGATTTAGGATTTGTTTTCACAAACTTTTCAGAGATACTCAAAACACATAAAAAAAAGTTATAATAATAACTCAAAACAGATTGTTAGTCTATCCAGTTCTCCAGCTAATGGGTAGGGTTTAGCAAAAACAAAGGTCAAGTACAAGTTCAAATTTCTTTAGCATCTATTGCTTTTTTTAGCTGGACCCAATTCTCCTGCCTGCCCACTGGCCTTGAACATATCAAGTGAAGAAAGAGTGACTGAAACAGAAATTGACCACTCTCATTCATTCAATTTCTTGCCCTCTGACCACCAACCCATCTTAATATTTTCTTAACCATTTCCTTTTCCTCTATGATCACTGGCACCAGAATTTCTTCTCCACCTCAAATGTCCAGTTTGTTTATAAGTATTGAGAACATGTAGCAGTCTATTTTGGTGCTGGTTGTTGTTGCCTTCTTTGTCAAAATGTGTAAGTTAAAATATGTTATATTAATTTAATTATATATTATACAATCATGTACTAATTTTTTTTTTATCTGAGACAATGTAAATGATTTTGTTTTTTTTTTTTAGAAAATCTCTTTCAATCCAGTGTGCTTGAAAACTTAAGTATGCATTGTTGTTGTTGTTGCTACTAAATAACAACAACAATGATGGTTCAGTATTTTAAAATTATTATCATTATTTCATTTTATTTGTCTGTCCCACTTCCCAACCTTTTTCTCATAAAGTGTTATTTATTTATATCATATCCTTTCTGGTGCGCAAGTGTACATTTTATTATTTAAATATATAATTTGCTTCTTGCATGGCAGTTGGTATTTAATAATAAATGTTAATGCTGCTTTTATACAAATGAATTATACCTGAAGGGATTGGGCCAAGTGAAATGATCACGCAATTAATTATTTTGTTTTGATTCCTTTATAAAAGATGAAACAAAAGACCTGCCTGTAAGTAATCAATATTTGATAAACAAAACACAAAATGTGATTAAAATGTTACCAGTGTGTGTGTGTGTGTGTGTGTGTGTGTGAATTCATTTTTTCAATTCTTTATATTTAAAAATTGAGCAGGGTGAGAGTAGACATTTTTATTAGCAAAATTAAATACTCTTATTAATATAACCTTATTAACCCAGCTGCTACATTTTTAGCTATATTTTTTTATGATGGTACTTTGTTTTTTTAAAAAAAAACATGTAGATATATCTTGTATTCAGGAAAATTGTCAGTTTTCAATATGTATATACATCATATACAATCAAAGAGTTAATTGAATATTGATTACATATAAGTACATTTATCAAAGTTCCTTTTATCATTTGATTTATTCTAGTTACTATTCTACTTATAATTTTATTTCCCATCTTCATCCATTCAACACCCCATCTTTGTTCACTTGGTCTGCTTTCTCTTGTATTTTATCTAACATCCAGCTCTTGTTCCCAAAGGAACTTACCATGAAGCACTTAATTGAAAGAAGAAGACCAATAGAGTTTATCTTTCTTGCTTTGTCTATGGGTCTTATCTTTGTTTGGCAATTCATTCCTTCTTCTTGTCTCCTTTATATATAAAATCTATGATTGTCATGTCTGATAATTTACCCTCCTGGGTACTTCAGTTTATCTGCTTTTCAGCTTCTAAAGCTGTTTTTATTTTAGAGTCACTTATAAGCACCTTAAACTTTCAAAGCTTTACTTAAGTAACTTTACATTTCAATTCAAATGTGCATGTTTCTATATACATATAGTTTTTACTGTTTCTCTTTTGGACAAAAATAAATGAAAAAAATTTTAAACAAAGAACTTTTGTTACCAAGCTTGTGTAAATGAAGAATTGCTACCAAAATATACCATGCATGTGTAGATAGATATAGATGAGAACAAAAACATGAATTTTGGTAAGTTGATCCAGATGTGTAACAACTTATTAAAAAAAATGCAATACAAAATTAAATAGCCTTATCAGTTTTAGTACAATTTGTTTAAATGAATTTTTGCTGCCTAAACACACACACAGATATATATAAAATATGTGTATCTGAGTGAGTGCTGAGAAGTTCTTGACCAGACCAACAAGGGATTCCAGAACAAAAATATCTCGTGTTTTGGTCAGATTTTGGAAGTAGATAGTTGATAATTTTTAAAAACTCACTCATACATACATGTGCACACACACACATATATACTTATATAGACACACAAAATAATATATTTTCCCTATTTTGAACTTCTCTCTCTACTTTGCACACACACACAAACACCCCACCACCAAAGAATAATATATATATATATATATATATATATATATATATATATATATATATATATATACACACACTACATATATTTCTTGATCAGGCTGTTAACTTTTCAGCACTGACTTGTATCTATGCATATTGATTTTCATATTGCTATATACCTATATGAATACTAATATATATTTTTATGTGTTATATATATATATATATAAACATCCAGACTTAGGTATATTTGCATATATTTTTACTGTTCAAACTTTAAAAGTCATCATTTTTTCTATGTAATCTCTGCTATTTTCAGCTCAGTTTGCTATGGACTAATTCTAACCTATATGAAAGAGTTGGAAAGTTGTTATTAATATTCATTGAACCTGAAGAAGAATTATTTTAGAAAGAGAAAGTTTACATAGATGTCAATTATCATATATCTCTTGATTCTGTATTTTCAGGCTTACGCATGGGCCTTGGAATCCATGAAATACGTGGTCAGTATGAAGACAGAGAACTGCACCACAGAAGAGAAGCTGGATGCCATGTTGCAAGACATGGACACGTTCATCCAAGAACATCCGCCCATTACTCCTGAAGTGTTTACAGAGACACTGAACCAGGCAAAGCAGCTTAAAAATGAGAAACTTATTTCGCAGTGCGAAAGAACAATTGCTCGATGCAAGGAAACACAGTCAAAGTTGAACTCACGCAGAAATGCCTTACAACGCGCTAAGGTCCAACTTATGAAAGCCAAAAGCGACAGTCCCTGTAATTGTATCGTCAAGTCTTCAGGCCCTGACATTGACGACACTTACCTGTTGGCACCTGCAGTGAGCAAGAAAACTTCATCTTGGCACGTTACCTGCACAAGTTTGCCTACTAGTCCAAAACTGCATCCACGCCGCTCGTCATTACCAAATAAAGGAGAAGTTGTACAAGTCTCGCCTATCAGCAATTTGTCTTCACAGAACATGGAGGAGTATCAAGAACAACTTTTTAACGATGGACTTATTACCGAGGATATGTCCCACAGGATTGTTACCTCATTACCAAAAAGTTTAACGCTTCGTCCCACCCCGGATACTAACGACTGTGATACACACGGGACCCGGGAAGGGAGCTTGTTTTCTCGTTTACCATTTTCAAAGAAGCACATGACAAGGACAGTTACTGTTCCTGTAGCACAGTCATATTCAATGTCACAAATGCAATTAAGCAGCTCACAAACAATTCCACAGATGGATGGTTCCTTGACAATAGAACCTTTACCAAGGTAAGCAATCATATAGCTTTATATTTAAACCTGTATTGACATTTTCTTATTAATTGATGTATGTCTTTGTTGTCTTATTATTATGTTTTTATCTTTCAAGTAAAAAAAAAACATTAAAAAAAAATAAAGGATTATGAGAAAATACAGGTTTTTCTTAATTAAATGAATGCATTGTTGCAACACTTTATGTTGTTAATCAAGATCTTTCCATACACAAGTTCTATTTCCAACAATAAATAAAGAGTAATGAATGTATCAATTCATTTTTAGATACTTCATTAGAAAAAAAGTGTTTACATGTTTGAGAATTGAATAATCAAACAAATTCTTAAGTCATCTAGATTACAAAATTTTCTTGCACAATAAAACAAAATCCTTAAGTATAAAACAAAAAAGTATAAATATATAATAGAAGCTTATATTGTTTCAGGGGTCAAATTCTTTACTACTACCAAATTTAGTGAATCATAAATTATTTTCAATCAAACTAATGTCTTAATCTTTGTTTTTACTATCATAATGTTTCAGCTATCTACCTTCTGGCCTTCTTCAGGTGTCTGTCAATTTGAGCAGACACAAAAAGTATTCAAGTTTAAATTTTTCACAGAAAGTAATCAACCTCCAATTGATGTGGGAGTCTACTGACAAAGCATAAATTATCAGAGCTCCCAACCAGAAATAGAATTTTTTTAAATCATTTCACCCCAAGCAAGGAGATAAAGCCACTAAAATGCAAGTGTTACTGAATGTGAAAGAATCTGAGAAAAAACATTGTTACATCTTGCAATTTTAATTATAAAATGATGAGACCTACCAGCTAATCTAGTACCGCACTTAAATTTGCAAAGTTGAGGTACCAAAGAGGAAAGCTTATAAGAACAATTAACATGAAAATATTAATAGAAAAGACAAAGGTAGCTATGTTACATCAGTGGGAAGGTCACTGAAGCTATGATGCCAGATTTATTGTCCTGTTGGACAAGTCTAGTGGATTAAAGTATTGTTTTATGAATTTGGTGACATAGTAATTGTGAGTTCAATCCCTGAGCTGGGCAGGGTGTACTTGGATACAGTGGAAACAGGCAAGCAATAACTGAGTAATACTAAAAATAAGAACTAGACAAGGAATATCTAGACATGGGCAGTGGAACAAGAAAAATCTACCCCCATAGATTAAATAAAGGGCTCAGTTCGAAGTTTCCTGTAGGTTACCTGGATCAACATAGACCTGATGAAGGCTGGAGAGAAAAACAGACAAAATATTGTGATAGCAACAATAAAGATGAGGACAATAGTCTGCATGTAAATCACATAAATAATGATGATAACTCGTCATCCCAGAAATTCAAACAGAAATCCATATTGTGTGTTTTGTACCTGGTTCTAAGAGTAATTATTCTGAATTCTGAGATGAAGTAGTTTCATTATTAATTGTTTTTACTAATTATCTTTGTTATTTTCACTTTTATCACCAAGTTAAAATCCCCTCCCACCATTATAGTAAGTAAAGTAGTAACATCTGACAAGAATTGCATTCGTGTCCCATATATCTGAGTAGTTCATCTTACATGGATGATGTCTAAACCAATTCAGCCATGGAAACCCAATAGACAAGAATCAAATTTTTAGTTATATTTACACTTTTTATTTCTGAAACTTCATACTATCCGATAATTGGAAGCAGAAGATTTTTCACTAATTTTTCTTTGATTTTATTATCACTTCTTAACACAGCATTCTATATTAACATCATCTGACTGTTAAAGTAAGCAATGTAAAAAAGAACTAGTTTACAGCACTTGTATCCTATATACTGGGAGCTCATTTAAAAATGGATGACCAATTTGACTATGAACCTTAATGGCTAGATAAAAGTCTAGTACATATATGAAACATTCCTTAAAAAATGAAACAGATTATATTAGGTATGTATAAAACTTCCCAGTACCCTCTTTTGTTGAAAACTAGTGAGTGAATATACAGTAATTTTTTTTTTTTTTTTTTTTTTTTAAGATAGGGAAGCTTTTGCCTGCAGCTCATATTATGATTTTTATGAATAATCCATCATAAAAAGAAAAATATTTAAGGCTACACAAAATTTTTTTCTTTTTTAATGGGTTTTCTATTAAACTCTCAAGCAAATAACTTGAATCAAGGGCTTGGAAAATCATTCGATAAAATAACCAAAATGAAAAAATGTGTACCATGAGACCCTTTGTTATAATTAGGAATTAGGTCATTACTGTTGGCATTTGATTGACTGTACTATTATTTGGTGAGGATCAATTATTCTCATTCCATTGAAATATCTCATATCAATTTTTGCCTGTAATATAACATTTGCTTTTTTTAGAGTATATAACATTTACCACCTGATTGAATCTATCATTGTGGATTGAATAAAGTTTTTTATTCAAAATTCACAATGTGATTGTAATGTAATGGATATCAGTGGCTGAGTTTAACTTGCAAGCTAGTCTGTTTCATTCACTTTTGCACAAATGACTTACTTTTCATTCTTTGGTGTCTGTGTATATGTATATATATATATAATAGCCATAAAAATAATTTACATATAGATCAATATTGCCACTGACTATCAGGGTATCTGTGTGCTCTGCCTAATATCAAAGTATGGCTCTTAAGATCAGTGTTATTTTTGTGTGCTCTGTGAAAAGTGTCACGCACAAAAAAAAATGCATATCTATGGATGCACATGTGTATTAAAAAATAGGAAAAAGTTACAAGCTTTTGGTTGATAGCCCCCATGTCAGATCAATATCAGCAATTAGTTCTATCACATTTTAATCATTTCTATATGTGGGTTCAAGATTACCCCTTTTTTGTTTTTCTTTATTAAAACCAGAAAATACTACTCTCCACTTAGCCAGTTTGCTGGTTTAGTTTTAATAAATCTAATCTTACTGATAACTTGAACTTGTTTATTGGGGACACCAAAATAATTTGATTCTGCTTGGATTTTTTTTTTAATAGGAATATCTCCAAATCATACATTTAATACACCTGATAGATCCTTGGCAGAGGCACAGTGGAGTAATGGATAGCAGCTTGGATTGAGGAATCAGAGAGCCAAGTTCACTGCATTCACTTATATGCTAATACCCTTGGGAAAGATATGAATCCATCTCTTCCCTTCATCTATTGGTAAATAGCAGAACAGACTCGATCCTATAGCCTTGGTTGGCAAGCAGTCTAGGAGAAGGAAATCTCTGAATGTAAACCACCTGCTGCCTTGTAGGTTTCGCTTCTTTAACTTCTGAGAGGAGGGATAGGGTCACTTCAACATCTCCAGTGCAAAAGAAACCAGTGATTTATTGAACTATTCTGCTTTGAATGTCAACATGAACCACAATTATAAGATGGAGAGGAGTGGTGACCACGATGGTGCAAAATACGTTAACCAAATAAATGATGATAGATCCTTACGTTTAATATGACATTTCATTACAACAGTCATGTGTCTCTGCTAATAATTCTTTTGTTTCTAAGTTGAAATCCACATAAACAAACTGACATTTAGTCTATTATAAACAGGTGCTATCAGAAAATTCCCAGACTGTACATGCTGTGATTGTATCATTCAACAGAAATGTACATGCAGTTAACACTTATTGGCATGCAGACTACTGAGTCAATCTGCCAATGGGCTTTATGTTATCGAGTAGTTCAATAATTGTATGAGGTTTTACAATGCTGTATTGGAATGGTTCTGTGAACTTGACAAATAGACTCTCTTAGTCAGCATTCTAGTTTTTTGAGTAGCCTGTATATTTCAAGGTCAGTTGAACATTAGTTTAAGATTATGAATGTTCAAGGTGGTCAATTACCAATGAAAGGCCAGAAAATATAGGAAAAAATTATGAATTCATCAATGAGAACCATTTCCAAACAACCCATCAGTTTGTCTTGTTTGTGTGTGTATATATATATATATATATATATATATATATATATATATATATATAGTAGACCATTGAAAGAAATTTTAAAGAGATTTAAAAAAACAACAAAAATATTATTGACTAGCAGTAGAGCCCGGCGTTGCTCGGGGATGTAACAGTAAGAGATAGATCAAGTATTGACCATTATAAAGACTGAAAAATAAAATTGACAAAGATTATTGTTTAAGGTTGACAGACACGCATGTCTTAATTAGTTTTTTTTTTTTTTTTTTTTTTTTTACAAATTGGTCAAACCCAAACTGAAACAAAAACATTGTTTTCAATCATTATGAGTCTACCGATTGGATATAATTTTATTATAAACAATTGTCTTGTAAATGGAATTTTTAAAGCATTCTGCATGTAAAAATAAAGAAAAAAGTGTGCAAGACAATAAGAAACACTACCTGCCAAAAAAAAGTGAAGTTTTGTTGAAATCGGTTGAAAAATGTAGGAAATCCAATCCCATATAAATGAACACGCACACACACACACAAACAACCTGGGTTTTATAATAAGTATAACTCAATATGAGTTGTCCCCCTTTCATTCTCGCGATGCCTCTTAATCGTGTTTTCAAATTGATTTCGTGCAAAAACAATTGTTTTTCCAATTTTTGGCGCTGTCAGAACCACCACAAGGTAATTTTACGTAATCTTGTGAAGTTTTGTTGAAATCGGTCAAAAAATGTAGGAAATCCGATCCAATATATAAACGTACAGACACACACACACACACACACACACCCTGGGTTTTATAATAAGTATGATAATAAGATTAATAATATTTTTTTGTATATTAGTAGGTTTCCACAAAAAAAAAAACCCTACAAACCTAGTCATGGTAAACAATATAACACACACAAACACACAAAATAACCTCCCCCACCAAAGTCCCACTTCATTTTTCATTTCTTGTTGAGAAACGACACAGGTGTGTCCAAAAATTCCAATTTTTAATATCTTTCTCATCATGCTTCCATTTAGCCAAAAGACCTACTAATATACAATAAAAATTATTAGTCTTAAGATCAATATT